CAAATGAAAGTCCACCTGCTGCCTTAAAAATACATGTCTCAACTTGAGTTTTATATTTGTTTCAAGTTAAAAAAGTTGATTCTACTACATTGTTGTTGTTGTCTCAACATGCTGTTTAAAGTTGTCAAAGTTATTTTAACTGTTCAYTAGATGGTTTAACGTTAGACTGTGAGTTGAAACAATGAAATACTAAACATCATCAATATACAGTAATAAACTTTCCTCAGCAAGTTGAACAAACTCATTTTTCACTCASTGTTTTGAGTTAGAATATTTGTGTGATGGATGACTTTCCTTTGTAAGTTCAGATGATTTTAATTGTAAATTTGTGATAAAACACACTGGATGTTTGCATTAATCCCACATTTAATATTTTATTAATAAAAATATGCTTAAACAGAATTCATTTTAACATGCCTTCACAAAAAAAAATTAAAACCAAATGGGAGAGGATGGAAAGAATGGGGTATTAGCAAGAAAATATGAGGTTCTAGCAATAAAAAGATGGAATTATAACAAGTGAAGGTGGGGTAAAAGCAAGAGAAGAGGGGGTAAAAGCAAGAGAAGAGGGGGTAACAGCAAGAGAAGAGAAGATAATAGCAAGAGAAGATGGGGTAATAGCAAGATAAGAAGGGGTAATAACAAGAGAAGAGGGATAATAGCAAGAGACAATGGGGTAATAGCAAGAGAAGATGGGGCAATAGCAAAATAAGATGGGGTAATAGCAAGAGAAGAGGGGTAAGAGCAAGAGATAATGGGGTAAAAGCAAGAGAAGAGGGGTAATAGCAAGAGAAGAGGGGGTAATAACAAGAGAAGAGGGGGTAATAGCAAGAGGTAATGGGGTAATAGCAAGAGAAGAGGGGTAATAGCAAGAGAAGAGGGGGTAATAACAAGAGAAGAGGGGGTAATAGCAAGAGGTAATGGGGTAATAGCAAGAGAAGAGGGGTAATAGCAAGAGAAGAGGGGGTAATAGCAAGAGTAAGATGGGGTAATAGCAAGGTAAGATGGGGTAATAGCAAGGTAAGATGGGGTAATAGCAAGGTAAGATGGGGTAATAGCAAGGTAAGATGGGGTAATAGCAAGGTAAGATGGGGTAATA